AGTCAAATATACAAAGAAGGTGAGTAGTTTTGATTTTATTTGATTGTATGTTTGCAATGTATCTTTCCTGGGTATCAATTAGAGGAATGTTGGAGGAAATTTTCTTCCTTACAATGACTCCAGAATTTCAAAACAATAAAGCTGTTCTGATCTGTATTATCAATGTGTTTTAGATTTTTAGGATATTAACATGTCTTGTAATTTCTCTCACAGAATCATCTAGTCCCTGGAATGTCATTTAATGTTACTGTCAGTTTCTGTCCAAATGAATGGAGATATTATTATGACAGTATTCGTATTCATTGTAAGGTGAGTCTTTAAATTATTTTCCATTAGTGCTTAATGTATAGATGAAGATAATGTAATCATGGGATGTCAGTATTGCTGGCTGGACCATCTTTAACTGCCACTTGAACTGATTGGCTTGCTTGGGCCTTTTCAGAGAGCAGAGACCAGGAGGGCAGAATCTGACCATTCATCCAATCAAGACTCCTCCACCATTTAATGCAATCTGATAATCCTCAATTTCACTTTCCCTGCCTTTTTCCCATAACCTTATATTACCTAACTGATTAAAAATCTGTCTATCTCAGCTATCCAGTAAAGAATTCCACAGACACAGCACCTTCAGTGAGGAAATTTCTCCTCACATCTGCATTACTTTGAGATTACATCCTCAAGTCTTGGACTCTATCACAAGGAACATAGGGACGGAGAAACAGGAGTAGACCATTCAGCCCCTTAAGCCTGTTCTGCTATTCAATGAGACCTGTGGCCTAATTCCATATACCCTGCCTTTGACCCATATCTCATAATAGCTTTGTTTAACAAAAATTTATCTATCTCAGATTTAAAATTAATAACTGATCCAACATCCATTGCTGTTTGTGGAAGACAGTTCCAAATATGTACAACCCTTTGTGTGTATGAGTGCTTCCTAACATCTCTCTTGAACAGCTTGGCCCTATTTCTCAGATATGTACCTGAGTTCCAGGATCCCTGACCAGTGGAAATAGTTTATATTTGTCTACCTTGTCCTTTCCTCTTAATAGCTTGAAGACTTCAATTAGATCACCCCTTAACTTCATAAATTCTAAAAAAAAACGTCTAGAACAATGGGACACAACCTGTCAGCATTACCCTGTCAAACCCCCGAGAAATCTTATGTGTTGCTATAATGTCAACTCTCATTATTCCAGCCTCCAATGAGCACAGGCCCAACCTACTCAACCTGCCCTCATAAGAAAATCATTTACTCCTGGGATCAAGTTGAGTGATTTTTTCTGGACTGCCTCTGATGCCAATATGCCATTCCTCAGATAAGGGAACCAAAACTCGCCGAGCTGGTTTGTTGTTCCGCATTGAACAATGTTCCGCATTATTCCACATTGAACTCGACCCCATATACATTCCACTACAGAAGAAACCCAGAAGTGAGGCAATCCATCGCAACGGACCCCAGAGTTTAAAAACCAGGCGGGAAAACACACCGAAGCTTCATCAGAGGCTGCACTGAGGATGTTACCAAGCACGGTAACGAAATGTCATGCGGAACAACAAACCAGCTCGGCGAGCCAACCAACCTCAACACCCACAACCCGAGCTACAAATCTACTCCAAAACCTTAGGGACCAAAACTGTTCATAGTATTCTCGGTGTGATATAACTGGAATATATTTTAATAGGGCTTGGATATTTTTATACTGCATTCCTTTTGAAATAAAGGCCAACATTCCATTTGCTTTTCCTGTTACCAGCCGAACCTGTGTGCTAGCTTTTTGTGATTTATGCATGAAGGCTCCAAAATCCCCTGTGCTGTAACTTTCTGCAGTCTTTCTCCATTTTAATAATATTCAGCTCCTCTATTCTTCCTGCCAAATTACATAACTTTATGTTTTCCCACATTATAATCCATCTGCCAAGCTTTCGCCTATTTAGGGTATTCAAATGTGACAAAGTGTAACAAAAAGTAATGTGAATAAAAATCATGCAGACCCACAAAATGTCATTACGAGGGAAACCGGAAGTGCGGTGGCTACCAGATTAGGGAGAGGCAACCTGTAGCTATCTATTCCTGATTCATTCTTCTTCCTTCTCTGAAGCAATTTGAAGCAAAAAAAAGTCAAAAGATAAATGTAATGGTTAATGCAATGATAGTTATATTGCTGCTGCAATTTGAGACTCTCAACAGGATTCTTCACAAACAAGACTAATGATTGATTGTTAGGCACATCTCCAGCTTAAACTATATCAGGCAATCTCATTATAACAGATTTGTTTGGTTGGTTTTTTTTGGGTGACTGTAACATTTTCCAGTTTCCTCAACTTCACCTATAATTTTCACTCTAAAATATGACATGCATTGTAACCGTAAACAATAATTATTGTATTTTTGTAGGATGATGACACTCTACTTGTTCCCGTGCATGCTTATCCAGTTGCAAATATTGTGGATTTTCCCACTTACTTAACTGTAAGTGATGTCCCTCTTGGGCAAAGGTATGTTTGTAATATTAGTTTTAATGATTTATTACAGTCATTTTAATGATAATTAAAGTTACTGAAGATTTTCACAATTGAGATACATTTCCTGCTTTTAGAGTTGGATGTTACTAACACCCAGAATAATGTCATGGGTTAGGTCCACATTTATTTAGAACTAGCATCCCTTCTTGATGAAGTGCTTATGTTATCCTTGTATATAAAATGGTTAACTTTTAATGTAGCCTTCATTATCAAATTTTAATTCCATTATTTGCTGAATAATAGAGTATGTCACCTTAATTACGTAGTTACAGGTGTGTTCTGATGTTGGCACATTGTTTGAGTTTGTGCTTTTATAGCTGATATCTCACATTCGCATACTTATGTTCACATTCTACGCCTGTCAGCAGATATGACAAAAGATGAAAAAATCATATGTCGATCACTTTTAGGGAGAATTCAAATGCAAAATGTTTGTCTACCTACACATTGAATGGAAACCATCATGATACACATATAAAATCTGAATAAATCTTACCTCCTTTGATGTGCTTCTCTTCATTCGTGTTTACATTTTTGAATGAACTTGATAAGATGAAGAATTTAAAATATCTCTTTCATTCTGTGAGTTGGCACCTCAAGGGCTTTTTATTAAGATCATCACCAGAAGAAAGAATATACAGGGTAGAAAATAATTTATGCTGTATTGTACTAACCTAAAAACATGCAAAATAGGGAAAGTATATGCTATATGGCTTCTCAGGCCTGTTACACTACTCCATAAAATCATGGCTGTTCTTCAACTTCAACTCCCCTTCCAACTTGATCCCCAAGTTTCTTATTCTGAAGAAGAGTCACATTGGATTCAAAACGTTAACTCTGTTTCACTTTCCACAGATACTACCAGAACTGCTGACTTTCTCCAACACTTTTTGTTTTTATTTACCTCAAATGCTGATTCCCGTGGTGTCCAAAAATATTTCTATCTCAGCATTGAAAATTCCCAGTGACAAAACATCCTCACAGTTTTTCATAACAGAGAATTTCAAAAGTTCACAACCTTCTGAATGAAGAAATTCCTTTTCTCAGTTTCAATTAATCAACTCCTTATCCTTTAGAGTTTATAGATATTCTAGACTCTTCAGACAATGAGAAAGTTATTTCTCAGCATCTTCCCTATCAACCCTGCTTAGAACCTTTTATGTTTCAATGATTCCACCACCACATTCTTCTAAACTCTAGATATAGGCCTGCTGTTCTGTTGTTTCCTCATGGAAGGCCTGACAAAAAACAGTAACAGAAGTAGATTTTCTTTGTTTTGGAAAACAATAGTGGTGTAGAATTGTTTGTATCTTTCCCAGCTTTATTCAATATTTGTGTAAAAATGGATGAGATTGTAATGCTGTAAAATGATTGGATTACCACTTACAGTTGGACATGGTACTTTGGCTATCGCATATTGATCAGCTGCATACAATTGGACTGAGGCCAGTGGCGAAAGAAATGAATGGTTGGGATCTTCAAAATAATAGCATCAACTAGAAATTTATAACATCAAATGTTACATTTCTAATGGATGTACAAAATCTTTTTTGTTAGACAATGGAAACTCCAATCCACATATTTTGTATCATTTTTTCTAGGTGTTAGTATACCTTACCAGCATTTGGAAATGTGTTGCCATTGTCATAGGAATTACTGCACAGAAGCAGGCCATTTAAACCATCACATTTATTCAGTTCTAACATATTGTTGTCATACTATGCTTGGGAAAGGATTAAAATACAGTTGGTGACATTTGTACATTTCTAGTTTAAACAGGCGTACATTCAACTCAGTTAGTCACACTACTTTTAAACAGTTTTGGAGATCTTATATTTGAAATAATATTATTAAGTTTATAATTACTAAGAAGACGTGCTAATGGTACATGAAATCTACTGGTGGAAATATTATAATTTGACCATGTAGTAGCTTGTACAAAAATAATATGCAGTTATTCATTCATTCTTTAAATTAAGAACCCTAGATGAAAGATTCGGCTAATATTTTACTTTCATTTTGAGAATGTAAAAGCACTTAATTTATTCCTTTCTGACTGAATTAACCAGGAATCCTCTGTGCTGATCTCAACTATGAAAACAGCAAAGGAATAAGATTTGTTTTTTTGCACCATCATAATCTCAACTTTCAAAACATGGACTCTTATTGACTGTAATATCCACTTTCTCCAATATTTTATCTTCAGCCTTCTGCTCTTGAAGATATTTTAAAGAAGAGATCAACTCTTATCAGTATAAAGAAATTTATTCAATTTGTATATTAGTGTTATGTCCATAACATGTTTCAATATGCGAAGCACATTCCAGTTTTCTGTAATCATAGAAAGATGTAATACTGAAAAATGCCCATTCAACACAGTGTTCTTCAGTTGATTCTTTGAAAGATCTATCTGATTGGTGCTACTTGTCTGTTCTCTCCCAGTAGCTCTGAATTTTTTTCCCCTATTCAACTTTTTATCCAACTTTTGAAAATTGTTTTTGCATCTGTTTTTATCACTCTCTCAAAGCAATAATCATAACAAAATACTTTGAAATATGTTTTCTCCTTGTTACCTTTGATTCATTTTGTCACTTGCCTTACATTTGTGGCCTCTGGTTACTGATCCTGCTGCCACTGGAAGTAGTTTCTCCTCATTAGCTCTATTAAACCTTCATGATATTGAACATAACTATCAAATCTTTCTTTAATCTTCTCTACTTTACAGAGAATACCAATAGTTTCTGACGTCTCTGAAGCCTTTCTTCCCAAGTACTAGTTTTGTAAATCACTCCTTCACCTCTCCAAAACTTCAAAGTCCTTTCCACAATGTAGTGTCTAGAATGGTTACAGTACTCTGTAGCTAGACAATGTTTTATAAAAGTTAAGCATCACTTCCTTACTTTTGTACAGCATTTCTCCATTTATAAACCCAAGGATCCTGCATGCCTTTTCACAGCCTTCTCAACTTGGCCTCGCACTTTCAAAAACTTGTATGCATATATCTCCTGTTCTCTCTGTTCTAGTATTCCTTTTGAAATTGTGCCACTTAATTTAAATTGACTGTCCCTACTTTTCTTAACAAAATGAAACACTTCAAACCTCTTCATTTTAGATTTCATCTGCAATATGTCTATCCATTCCACCAGTCTGTCTATAACCACCTAAAATTTAGCTATTCTCCTTTACTTAATTTTTCTGTTTTCCAGAAGGCTTGAAATTAAGTCTTGTGTACCAAGTACAGATGTCAAAAAGAGCAGAGATCCAACTAGCTATCCTGGGGAATATCGCTTTACATTTCTCTCCAATCTGAAAAATAACTATTGACAACTATGCTTTGCTTTCTCTCCCATTTTGAATTCTGCATTCATGCAGCTACTGCCCCTTAAGCTTAAGGAATTCAGTCTTAACAAAAGCCTTTTAAGAGTTCAGCAGTGACAGGTTGAATAAGATCAGTTAAAGGATGTAGGCAGTGCAATTTGTGATTAACCTTCGGCCGTCACAATGCAGGCAGAACACAAATTTTAAATGACCGTGGCTTGCAACTTCAGTGCCTTGTGTCCTGCTGAGTGGCCACCCACTTCAGTATGGATCTAAGGTCTTTTCATTGTTGCACTATAGGTTAGCTTGTACAAATTAAAAACAGCCTACATCTCTCAATGTGGATACATTCTAGCTGCAATCAGTGTTTATGAGTGGAAAGAAATTGTGTAACACCCAAAGAGCATGCAGGCCTTATTACAGGACGTGAACAGAATGAAAGAAGTCATTTCCCATAAGAGGGCTCGGAGCCCCCAAAACAGCTATTACAAAGGCATACTGAATGGATAGCCAGCACAATCAATTGGAACAGTTTAGCTCCAAGGACCTGAATGGGGTTCAATGAATTCACATGAGTAATCAAGGTCATTAATACATTTGCATTTGTCATATCCTTTAAAGTAAACAGATGGCTCAAACATTGTTCAATTCACTACATACATTTCACTCACAAATTAACAGTCTGTATTAAATACTGTGTGCATCTAACATTCATAACTTCACTTCATTCTCACTCACCTTAGAATTGCTGCAAGCTTCAGCCTCACTTGTGATGGACGACAAAAACCTGCAAGCTATTCAAATGTGACACGTACATCATTCAAACACCTTGCTCCACAATCACAAATGCACTTCCTTCTCTTTTAGAAGCCAAGGTGGCCCATAATTAGAGTTAACAAAATCTGCAGTAGAAGCTCAGACTGAAGTCACGGATGTCCACCTTGTCACTCTTGTGAGTATGTCTTCCAGGATGATTTTGGGACTTTCACAGCTATTCAACTGCTGGCCCTTTATTTTTTGAGCATTGTCCCTTGCAATCCTGTTCGGCTTACTGGCCTACACTCACTGAGCAAGGCTGCATCATCGCATCCACCCTGTTCACCATCTTCATTGCCAACATCCTCCGTTTCACTGACTAAAACCTGCCCAAAGCAATTCAATTTGTTTACCACATGGAAGGCAGGCTGTTCAACCTTAATAGGTTCAAGGGCAAGGTCTCCACCACCTCCATCTTGGAGCTTCAATATGCTGACAACAACGCCATTGCAGCACTCCCCACAGTCCTACCATTAATTGTGTAAGGCCTGCCCTTACTCATCTTATCAAAATGCAACACCACTCATTTGTCAAAATCAAACTCCATCTGCCACTCCTTGGCCCATTGGCCCAGTTAATCATGATCCCTTTGTAATTTTAAACAACCTTTCTCCCTGTCTAAAATACCACCAACTTCCACAAACTTAGTAGCCATGCTTCCTATGTTCTCAAGCAAACCGTTTATAAATGACAAACAACAGTGAACCCAGCACCAATCCTGCAGAACATCGCTGGCCACAGGCCTCCAGTCCAAAAACACAACCCTCCACTGCCACCCTCTATCTCCTACCTTCAAGCCAATTTTGTATCAAACTGGCAATCTTTCCCTGAATCCCATG